GCTGCTGAAACTGATCAGCGGCTGACTACAGGAACCCTGGGGTAAAGCAGCTCTGCCTCGGGCTTTCTTTAGTCAGCCGCTGATCAGTTTCAGCAGCGGCTGAATCAGGGACACCTGGGGTACCTGACTTACAAACAAATTCAACTTAAGAACAAACCTACGGTCCCTATCTTGTACGTAACCCGGGGACTGCCTGTATTCTAAATGAATGTTTATACTTCATCCTAATATGTGCTTTTCCTACACGATTAAGACTTGTGGCACATGTCCTTGGAAAGGCTTAGGGTTTTGTCTGTTTTCTTGATATTGCCATATTATGCTGCAGGCTAAGATCTATGACTTTTTGTTGATTTGGTAAATTTCAATTTACAAGGATAACTGCTTTGACTTAGAGTAAAAGTTTAAACTTTTATTTTACAGCAATTGAATCTTTCCATTGGACAAGTTGCTCCAGTATTTTTTCTCTCATCTTTCTTCTAGGGAAATAAGTAATGGCATTGAAAGACCAGGGAAGAAAAAATCAGTAGGTCGTCCACCTGGCCCCTACACAAGAAAAATGATTCAAAAAATTTCAGAGCCATCTTCTTTGGTAAGTATTCAAATAATTCTCTTTTTTTACTTTAAAATGTCATTTCTTATAATAACATGACCACTAAGTTTTAATTTGTGGTTTTCAAAAATTTGATTATTTCTACTGAAATTGTCTGAATTTTTTCACTTATCACTCAGGATAAGGAACCAGTTCCAGTGCTAGAGAACCCAGCCTTGGATTTACCCTGCTCTGTTGGGTAAATGAAAAAAAAATCAGCCTTTGTAGTAGCATCTCATTTTTGCGTGTCATATGTCAGATTAATTGGTTAATACTGGATAACTTTCATTACATGACAGTCTTGTTCTTATGTCTCAGGAGATCTGATGGAACTGCTCATTCATCCAATACCTCAGATGTAGAATCTACAGGTGCTGCCAGTACAAAAGAAACTACCTCATCTAGCATTTCCAGACATTACAGGTCAGTACTGAATTATCCCTGAAAATGAAACATGCAGAAACCTCTCAGTCTTTGATTTACCCCCTGCTCTTCCAGGCTAATTTTCTGAAGGAAGAAAAAGATGCAACAATATTTTTATCATTAATAAAGAAAGCAGCACTAATATTGCATCCTACAGACCTTGCCCTTGCTGAAACATTGAACATTCTGTCTTTTAAACAAAAGCTGTTTTTAAGGAGAAATTAGACGGTTTCTCTTTGATTAGTAACTACTATTTAATTTTGAGATAGTCTGCACTTGAGCTGTTTACAACAAAATGAACAAATGTATGGCCACTTCTTCTTATAAATTTTGATATAAAACTGAATTTGGTAGGACTAACTTGCACCCTAAATTCATTTTAGTTTAACAGGCTTTTGCATAATTTCTATTAATGTTAAAGAAAATGAATCAAGTACAATATATTTTCCACAGGGATTGAATTATCTTGACACACACATTTGATAAGTTAATCATTTACTTAAGAACAGCCCAGTCATCTGGAAGTTCTACAAATACCTGTTGAACCGTTTTCTACCTCAGATTTAACATTCCAAAAGGATCTCTGTCAAACTGAGAAACTGAGTTAATAAGTGTTTTGATTCATGTCTTGCAAACTTTATCCTAATTTTATAATTTAAAATACATTTGATATAAGTTTTGTTTTTTTGAGTCAAATGCTGACAAATGTCTTCATGACCAGGTTTTTTACACATCTGCAGTTTATTTTTATTATTCAAAATACACAAAGTGAAACATTTTATACAAACAAGTCACTAATTTACTAAGCTCATATTATGTCTTGGCATCAACCATTCTAGTGTGCGAAAGATGTCTGTGTAAAAGATATCTTTTTCAAGGACTTAAATCCTTCATGCCTATGTTACCCTTAAACCACGGTACATCTCCTTTAGTCATTAGTGCATCTAGTCTGAGTTTTGTGCATAATTTTTTTTGCCTGTGTAATATGTCCACAAGGAGTCAGAAATTTACGACTATTGAGTTTAATATAGAAGAAGCCATGCAAAGTTTTAAAAATTATTTTAAAAAGAAGTTCACTTGATCCAGAAAATGTGAAAACTTCATGCTTAAATTTTCTTTATTTGTAGCCTTTTCTATTCAGTAAAGTGACTGAGCCTGATGTTTGCTGTAATTGAGGGCTTGCCTAAATGAAAGAGTAATTTGAGGTGTGAATTTAAACAAATATACTGAAACTGGTACAAATATCTACTGTGCACTTATTCATTTTTAGAGGGGCAGTTAGGAACAGGTTTAAGATAAGTCAAAAGAACAGTTATTCTTAAACCAAAATAAGGTGCCCATACATGGACCTGCACTTTTTTAATTGAAGCTGGTTTTTAAACGAATTCAATTAAACTTGTGCAGTTCTCTCATGTAAACAAGTCCTTACACTGTAAGCTCTCAGAAGCATACAGTGCCATTTATACCTATTGCACTATACTGGTGATAGACAAAATTTTAAAAAATCATAACTGAATTGTATAGATATAACTAAAAATATGAAGCAGAATAAAACTATATGCAGGAGGAAAATGATTTAAATAAACAATATTTCTGGGACTTAATGTTGGTTTGTTTTTGTTAAGTAGCTTATCAGACTCCAGAAAAAGGACTCGGACAGGAAGAACTTGGCCTGCTGCAATACCACATTTGAGGAGAAGAGGTCGCTTTCCACGAAAAGCACTCCAGCCTCAGAATTCAGAAATTGTAAAAGATGATGACAACAAAGAAGATTATCAATATGATGAACTCAATACAGAGATTCTTAATAATTTAGCAGATCAGGAAATACAGCTGAATCATCTAAAAAACTCAATTACTAGTTATTTTGGTGCAGCAGGTAGAATAGCTTGTGGTGAAAAATATCGTGTTTTGGCTCGTCGGGTGACCCTTGATGGAAAGGTGCAGTATCTTGTGGAGTGGGAAGGAGCAACTGCATCCTGACTGTAGGACTGAACATTATGTTCACTGCACTGCTATCTGTAGATACAGTTTTTTAACTTAGGGCTCTCAAGGAGACAGGTCTTTACTGTGTTTCTAAAAAAAGAACCAATTTAGCCTTAATATGTACTTGTTAACATTACAAATATTGTGATACAGATTTTTCTTAAAATCAGATCTGATACTTAAATTTTTTAATGTGACCATTGTTAGATTGTTTTAGATTGGGATATTTTGAGTTACAATTGCTTACAGTGTGCATGGTGTTTAAAAAAAATAAGTTTTTTTTTCCCCCTAAACATTCCATGGATACAATTTTTTTGTGATTGGGGAAAATATCTAGTTAGCACAAATCTTTGGAGAAATCTTGGTCTGTTTCTTATCCAGATGTTTTCAGAACTGTATTTCTATTACAATACACTCTAGATTTCATAAAGTGCAGTGTATATAATGACTACTGTAAAATACTGATTTTCTTTCAAGCAAAGTGTAAAAAATATATTGAGCCTGTAAATTGCTTTTTGACTAGACTTCATTGTCTTTTTAATATATTCTTTCTGTGTGTATGTGTGTGTGCGCGTGTGTATAAATACACACTATATATACACATGTATGTGTATATATGTGTGATTGTGACCTATGCAATACAGATTATGGGATTGGGCAGCTTCTGAGTGTATGTCCCATAATTCTTTTATCAGGAATAGTTGCAGTATTTACACAGCAGCATTTCTTCTCAGGCGATATTGCGTGCTGTTGCTTTCTATGTACTAAGGAAAAGTGTCAAACCAGTGCAGTGTCTTCTGGCAATGGGTGCAGTCTTTGATGTTCATATGTTCTTGCTAATACAGTCAGTCATTTTCCTTGTAAATCAGCTATTCAAAACAAAGCAGGATTTAAATTTTTTTGAATAAGGACTCTATTAGAAGCAACACTTTAAAGTTTTTGTGGCACATTGATTGTAAATTTTGTCTCCCAATTATAAAAATAAGTCAACAGAAGCTACACACATAAGATTCCTATAATGTCTGTAGTAATTGTTAGTCTGTTTGATAAATGTAGAATGAACAAAGTATTTTATTGCACAGGGTCAACAAACAGTATGTTGCCATTTGAAGTAACAGTACTGCTTTTATAACAACTTTACCTCTTTTGTTTTTATAAAATGTACCAAGTTTTAAATTGATAACTTTATTTTACGTGTAAAGAGACAGTTTATCACCAGTGTTAGATGTATTTTTCTTTGTCTGCTATTTTGAGGGTTTTTTAGCCAAAGAGTAAACAGAAGAATATTGTTATTTTGGTGGTTATTCACTTTACTGTCTTTCTTACATACTTGGAGTTTGCCACCTAAATAATATTATGTAATATTTGTTAATTACATACTGGTTTAAATGTACTCTCTGGTTTAGTACTTATTTATTCCATTACATATTTGACTTTTTTAAATTTACTGCCTGTCTTGAACATCTTCAAAAGATGGATTTTTCTGTCACCTTATTGCCAAAGGAAGCAGAGAAAATTTTGTTGCCCTGTGCTTGGTCCATTGTTGGCCAGGTAATAAATGAGCTTTACAAAAGTGCTAATTAACATCTGCCACTTCTGTTTACCTTCACTAAAATGTGATTTTTCTCACATACACCCTCAGCTATTAATTTAAAGTTGCCTTGTCTGTAGCTGTAATATTTTGATAAAAGCAAGTTTGTTGATTTTTGAATTTTTATATCTTGGGGTAATGCAAAATGTAAAGCCTTTGTAACCTTACTTTCACATCTGTTTCTGTCTTCTTTCACTTTATCCAAATCCTTTAATTCTAACTGAACACCAGCAGTATTCTCAGTGATGCTTCTTTTTGAAGATTAATACTGGAATATACATGGGGGAAGGGAAAGGGAAAAGAAAACAATAATTGTCAAACTTAAAATGTCCATAGACTTAATTATTGTGAATGTCTTTGTTTCATTTTATTATGATGATTGACATGACTCTGATGTTCAGTTTGTATTTTTGGAATTGCATTTCTTAGAATTAAAAAAGACCGACATTAAATGTGTGTATTTTTTGAGAGAATGAGTTTTGCTTCTGCATTCATGTGAAATACATACTAGTACTTTACACTTTTTTCCGTGTCGTCTGTCAAACTATAACCATGCCTCTAACTTTTTTTGAGCTTGTTGTCTTCCACGTACACGCAGAATTGAGTAATGTAGAATGAACAAAGTAATTGTATTGCACAGGGTCTCAACAAGCAGTATGTTGCCGTTATTTGAACCCTGAAAGAATTCAGTATGCCCAGGGAATGTTTTGATCCTTCCAGTTTGCATTGTGGTACTCTTTGCATCTTCCTTATATGAATCTATTTATGATCATGGATTGTTAGAAGGAAAAGACAAAGATCACTGTGTGGCAACAATTTGATTGTAGTGTGACTTATCAGTCATTGTTTTGGTTTACACAGGGCTAAGCATAACCTTTCATATTGACTGATTTCACAACTCTCAACCCAGGTTATCTGATTAATATTTTGTCCTTATTTATCCATTTGTATTACCGTAGTGGTCAGAGAGTAGAGCTCTATTGTACTAGACTTTGTACAAACATAACAAAGACCTTGCTTTGAGAAGTATATTGGCCAGTGTGGGGGAAAAAAAAGCAGTCACAGCAAAACAGCTACCTAACTGTTGTCAAATTTTATGTAGGCATCTCAACAGAAAGGAGTTTTAAGGAAAGTTCTGAAAGAATACAAGGAATTTACTTTGAAAATATTTATGGGAAGCTCCTCTCATTTACAGTGGTGGTCAAAGGGGCTTGTTAGAAAATTTTAAAAATGGATAATCAAGGCTGTTATCATTTGTGAAATTAAGCCAGGGATTGACATCCAGTTACCACATTAGAGATGATAGGGCAGAAATAAGTCATATAGAACACAGGTAATTTGTATTTGTCGTCTAGGACAAGCAAGTGGGGGAATGCAAAGAGAAAGTTGACATGGTTGAAGTAATAGTCTAGGAAAGACTTTTGCAGTAGAATTTTGAATGGAGGTAAATGGTGCAAAATGGGATTTGTCAGGCTCGGAAAGGATGAGGCTATAGCCATTGAGGCACAAGTGAGGGTTTTGACAAGAGATGTAGCTGTGCACGTATAGAGGAAAGGCTGGATCTTACAGATGTTACATAGAATGAAGTGGCAGGCTTTAGACAGATTAGGTATCGGGAGATGGCAGATTTTAAGCCAACACCAAATGTAGCAATGTAGTTATACTAACCAGAGCCCTGTTGCAGACAGCACTATATTGACAGGAGGGCTTCTACCATCAGTTATTGCTGTTGCCTCTTGAAGAGGTGGATTACCTATGCTGACAGACAAGCTCTCCTGTCAGAATAAATAGCATCTTTAAGTGTTATAGAGGTATAGCTGTGCTGCAAGTGTAGACAAACTCTGAGGCTATGTCTACGATACAAGGTTTTAGCGCTAAAACCGGTGGAGCATCCACACCTCAAGCGTGTTTTTGTGCCCAAAAAAACCCCAAAACAAAACAGTAAATCAACAGGACAGAGGGCGTTTGCCAGTATTTATTCCTTGTGGGGAGAGGAATAACTCCTTTTTGTGTTACAGCTCTTGTGCAAAAAGGCATGTGTGGGTGCTCTGCAGGGGTTTCTTGTGCAAAAAGAGCCTATCAGAAAAAGCACAGGTGCTCTGATGCCATTCTGTGAATGGCCATCAGAGCTTTCTTGTGCAAGAACGTCCATGCAGCGTGGACGCTCTCTTGCACAGCAGCATGTTGCTTTTGAGGTGTGGATGCGCTCTTGCGCAAGAAGTTTTTGCGGAAGATCTCTTCCACAAAAAGCTTCTTAAGCAAAAACCCTGCTATGTAGACTTTTTTTGCAAATGAGAAAACCCTGATGTAAAGGGAGAACAAGAGGGCCAGGGATGGAACTCTCTGGGACACTTTAAGAAAGTTGAAGGTTGAATGAGAAATACTCATTGGAAAAAAACAATGAGAGCAATTAGAGAGGAAGAGCCAAGCTTGAGCAGAATCTTGGAAACAGAGAGAGGACAAGATTTTGAAATGAAAGTGGCTGAAAGTTTGTGAGTGGAATTTGTGATACAATTTATTAATTCTGGTTGAAATTGCTGTATAATGGAATCTCAGGATCAAAGTCAATCCTATGCTGTCAAGGCTATTGCATATTCCCAATGCCAGAGACAGTGGAGAGTCCTTTAACTTCAGTGATTGTACTCAGAACAATGGGTATGCTAACAAGAGTTGCCTGAGGTGGGAAGCCAAGATGATTGTTCTCCTGTTTGAATATCTCCATATCACAGCCGTATAGACAAAGTCAATGGTTAATGCTGGTCTTAAAAACCTCAGAACTTCCAAGCTGTGTCTACAATTACAATCCTTCAGCAGCATTGCAGCATGTGCCACTGTAGTGCTTCAGTGTAGCTGCTACCAGGGGTTCTGCTGTCACTATTAATCCACCTCCCCGAGAAGCAGAAGCTAAATCATCACGAATTCTTCTGTCAACCTAACTCTACCCTGTTAACCCTGTCTACTCTGGGGATGAGGTTGGTTTTAACAATACAGGCAGTCCCCGGGTTACGTACAAGATAGGGACTGTAGGTTTGTTCTTAAGTCGAATTTGTATGTAAGTCGGAACTGGCGTCCAGATTCAGCCGCTGCTGAAACTGACCAGCGGCTGACTACAAGAAGCCCAAGGATCGACGTAAGTCGGGGACTGCCTGTAAAATGAAGAATATTACACACATGAATTTAACACACTGGACTATTCATAGGTAAATAATCTTGAATATAAAAGTAGTAGAATAATTGGATAAAAGCAATACAACTATGCAGAAAGCAAGATAAATATTTTGCCTGGGGACATTCAGATTTTAGAATGCACAAAAATACTAGCTAAGCAAGTTTTACCACAACACTATCAAGCTCACTGATGAAAAAATTTAACAATCTCAAGGAATCTCAAATTTATGACTAACAGGGTTGGCTGAGTCAAACCCAAAGGCTACAAGATTAAAGCATCATGTTACAAAAGAATATTTATCATACAAGTCCTGATAGCTATTAAAGAGGGTTTTTTGCAAATTTCATTGGCAGGCAACATTTTATCCACAAAACAAAGTTGTGTCCTCCAGTGTTTTTTGTAAACTGAGTACTTGGACAGATGCCCAGGAGAGATTCAGGTGCCACCCAGCTGATTAGCAGAGCACCCACAACAAGCAACATGTGTTTCTATTAGTAGCACACATCTGCACAGGCTTCAATGCACATAACAAAATGTGTTCTGCACATGGATGGAAAAAATTAGAGGAAACATTAGTATCCTCTTAAAAAAATACCCCACATCCATTTGAGAATAAAAAAAAATTACTCCAGAATTGAGTTTATTTGATGGCTACTTATTTATCAAGTAAATTGAAAAATAAGTTTGAGATTTTAAATTCTTAACTTAAAAAAATCAGTTATAATGTTATGCTGCTCAGTTGCCCCGGAGGACACAGGCGGCGGTACCGCGGACGCTTCTGGGTGGTACTGCCGCCCGCGTCCTCCAGGGCAAGAAAAGCCCTGTTCGTAAGTGCAGATCCGTCATAAGTCGGATCCGCATAACCCGGGGACTGCTTGTATCATTGGGGATGGATGTGTGGATTTTTCATGCCCCCGAGAGACATGGCTACACTAACTCCTCTTTAGCACTGGTTTCAGTTTGCCTCTCCCCATGCTCCTCACCTGTGTATTCCTGTCAAGCTTTTTCCTGCTGCTCCATCTGTCTGAACTCTAACATTGTGGGCACTGAAAGCCCAGGAGAGAGAATTTATTTCTGTGCTCTTGGTGCTCAGTATCACTATCAGAAACAAAGTGCGGGGAAGTTCAGCTCTGTCCTTGAGCCCTGGGATGGAACATGTTTAGTCCAGACATGCCAACTCCACAGGTTTTCTCTGCAGACTGTGTTTTCAGATCCATGTTTAGATCTATGGAGAAAAGACCAAGCTAGTCTCTGAGAAATAGTGCTTCCTGTCCTTTTCTCATTTTGGAGACAGAGGCAGTGGCATTAAGTTAATGGATTTTCAGAGCCTGTGCAGGATTTGCACATTGCCAGACTTTGTTGATTTGGCTTAGGAGCCCCTCTGCTACCCATGTTTCCAGACTAGGTCCATGCCAGCTGGGCATAATTTTTTTTTATAATTACTTACAGGCAATCTAAGTAAAAATAAAAAAGCCACAGAAGAAAGGAAACCACAAACAAGGGGAAGGGTTGTATAATCCCAGTTTGCTGTTCCTTGCAGCTAAGAAAGACCTGGGGAGCAAGTAGAGCGGATCCCTTTTCATACTCTCAGAACCCTCTAATGACCCCAGTGGACCCTCAAGTCTAGAAGGAGACAGATTGCTTGATGGAGATATAAAGCATTTTTTCTGAATACCATCTCAAACTGTATATAGCGCTTCTTGTTTTACTAAGCTCAAGCCATTAAGTCTATAACATGTCCCCAGAAATTTGGCAATAAAAGTCTTCAACAAATGGAGAATTGCCTACTTTTGCATGTATGCAAGTTCATGGCAAAGAGAAGCTAGAGAGGCTTTACCACATCAGATAGTAAGTGGTATTTTGGCTCTTTCTGGAAAGAGAGAATGTCTTTTCAAAGATGTTTCTACATTCTTCTGTGTCAAAGAGAACAGAATAAAAGGTTAGTGATTATTTCTGTTGGCATGGATTATGGTTGTCTAATGTAATAATTTATTGTCAACGGGAGACGGTATCTTGCAATAGTTGAGACATTACACAACTCCCATTACTGCATTACAGAATTATTTAATCTGGTTCTTAACTGTTTTGTCTGCTAGCAACCTTGAAACTAGACTAGACTAAACCAGTTACAGTAGTGTTTTAAGACTGCACATACTACTTTTTCTGAATCTTATTCTGTCCTCCTTATACATAGTACTAAAAGTTACAAAAATTCACTTCATTTTTTCACTTTCATTTCCCCTAGAATACAGGGGGATTTTTGTGTTCAACAGACAGGATGAAATTAACTCACACTTGGTAACTTTCATTTCACAACATAGGCTTACTTTCATTGCACAGTGTATGATACCCTAATATTTTCTGAAAAAAATAGTGTGGCTTCTCCCATCCAGTCATCTTTTGTGAAAGATTAACATTTAATTAAGATGTAAATATTGAAAGCTATAAGCATGACTATACTAGGAATTTGTAAATTGTGTCTTCAAAACTAAACTTCTCTCCATCCTGTTGAAAGAATTAGAGAGCATGTTTCAAATTGTCTGGCTATGTGAAAGGAGAGGAGACATTTAATATGTGTTTAATCAGGCCACAATTTTTTTATTAGATGAATTGCTTTCTCTTCCCCATGCCGCCAAAAATCACTCTTCTCTCTTGGCCAGCCAGCCCAATACCACCATCTTAAAATGCAGGGAAGTGAGTCTGATCTCACACCACAACTTCAGAGTTAGAATGCTTAATCTTAGTTTAACACAGTAGAATTTCATCACTAAATTTGGAGGAGACATCTCTTCAGGAAAGAAATGTCACAAGGGTGTATTGTACAGTGGAAAAGAAATGTGGTATATATTTCAATCAAGGCAGAAAGTCAAATGTTAATTGATCTCACCTGAAAATAAATATTTGCACAGGTTTCATTCATAATCCTTTTACCAGTAAGCTGAATTTTCATGTGTTAATATTTATGGTTACAAGGTGTTACTTTATCTTAAAAGGACCCAAGTTTTAAGAAATTCAGTCTTTAAATGACTTGCTTTGTAATTGTGTGGAAGTCATGAAGCTTTGGTATGTGCTGTACTATTAGGTTGTTTCACAATGTTTGCTGAATTTATGGCCCTGTCCTGCAAGATACTTAACAGTTGTCACCTGATATGCACCCTCAAATCCTGGAGAAACTATGGGTCAGGAGAGACTGAGTGCTTAGCCCTTCAGAAAATCAAGTTCTTACAGCAGAGTATGCGAAGATAGTGTTCTTTCTACAACTATTATAAATTAGGGTGCACAAGCACATATTTAGCATAATACAAGCTTTTGCATACAATTTTATCTAATGTCCGTGGACCTTAAGCATTTAATATTTAGTACAGAATAAACCGCTCCTTTTACCTACTTGAGTTGTACATCTTACACAAAACACAAGGACAATTTATGCCAATATATTATCTAAAATGTCATTTATTGTGTAAGTTTGAATACTGTATCTTTTACCCAGGGTACCCCCTGAAATTTTTTCAGTTGACAAAATCCCATAATTCTTCATCTATTATACACGCTGTTTAAAACCTTGAGATGAGGATTTTGAGGGAAGGGTTCTAATAACTGAGCCACAAGCTAAAATGCAGTAGGCTAACATCAGAGGTAGACTTTTTAGACACAGCTTTTGGGAAAGAATACAGCATTTCATAGTTGCTACACCATGGCCTTTGTTACATTGAAAGATGCATCACTTCTATGCTTTATAAAAAGGAGACAGCTCTATGAACATGGTCTGCCTGTACTGTACTCAGAAATTGACCGAGCCAGACATGAACTGCTTCAAGACAGGTCAAGCAGAGAAAAGAGAATTCCACTTGTCCACCCCTCCAATGCATTATCAACAATCTAAAACCTCTCACAGGCAATCCCCAATCTCAAATTCTTTCCAGTAACCATGCAGCATACCATCATCAAGTTGTGTTAGTCTTTAAAGTGCTGCTAGACTATTTGTCTTAAGTTTTTCCAGAAGGGAACCACATGCACCTGTGAGTGTACACAAGTCTTCCGGGGCAAATCAATTCATCACCTGCAGTTTCTCAACCTGGGGTTATACAACAGGTTTAAGGGAGTTGCAAGTGTATGGCTGGTGTTAAAGGATGCCAAGCATGAAAACTGCTCAGGACCCCATGCAGCTAAGTTGCATGTTTGAGCTTTGGGTGGTAGGGTTTGGGCTCTGGGGGTACAGTAGTCTGGAAAGGTTAAGACCCATTGATACAGCCAATGCAGTATGGAAGCATAGGCAATTCCCTGCACACAATGACAAAGGCAAGAATGTCATTGTTAATAAGTCTCGACTCAAATTCAATGGTGTCACCATGAAAATGGAAGGAGGTACTTTGTGCTTCACATCGGAATTCTGGTAATACAAAATAATTTGAAATAGATTAAGGATTAGGTATCACCTGAAAGCCCTTTCTGATATGCACACAATGGTATCAAGGTGACAAATCTAGAACATTTATATAGCTATATATTTGAGAAAATATTTTAACAAATCCTTGTTCTTTTAATTATGATTTAACAAAGAGACTGATCTTTGGTAATCCTAGGAATCGAGCCTTGACATACATGAGAACATTTATTCATCAAAGTCACCATCAGTGTTCTCAGTCTAAGGTAACACTGCTAGATGTCACATTGATCCTTGTCTGTGCTACACTCACACATCTCTGTGCAAGGCAGGCTGCTGGTCACACATCTGCAGGGTGGTGAGTATCCAGTCTTTGCATATAAGCATTTGATAAGCTGCAGGATTGATTTGAGAGCACACAGTATTTCACAGACCCTCCATGAAATGTGATTTCCAACATGACCCATTTCTAGTGAAGCTATATGATCAAAATGTACACTTCCAGGAAGAGCTGTAAGGGGACGTAAGCTTCCTGCCACAACCAGGGGGTTGCATTATTGAAATTATGATTCTGTAGATTGCATGGCTTCAATGACACCTTCCTATCAATAAATTGCCAATGGAATGAGGCTCGGAAGATGCTTAGGACTCATAGGGAAGCAGAAGATCTGGTTTTTGTATAAAACTGCAGAGGGGAGAATGGTCCAGAAGCCACTGAAGTCATAGAGTAAACAGCAACTTTGAAATACCTTTTTCTTAAACAATTTAGAATGGTTATTGCTAGGCTTCATTCACACATCTGAAATTGAAACTAAAGTGAAATCTCTCCCCATATACATAGTCCTTGTTAGAGAAAAGTGGCCAATGCACCTATGCAATTACTATTTTAATAAGTCCACTGCACTGAACTAAATATTTTCCCATCCATTTTTAGATGGCTAATACTAGGCCCTCCAGGATAATCACGTGAGAGTCTAGTTGCAATGTTTCAATTCTTATCAAGTTCAAACAGACAGTACATTTGTATATCTAGATCAGAACAAAACATTTACAATTTTTAAAAATAACTGATGTAAACAGTCCTAATAGTTATAGCATAGATTTTCAGAGCTAATACAATTTTTATGGGCACTTCCAGTGGGTTGGCACTTGGCTTTAATCTAGGCTGATGACAAAACACTTAAATGCACTCTAAACTACTAAGATTATAACAAAAGGAGACAAATGTACAGATGAGTCATGTATTTTTCCACTGCAGAATCAAATGCTAGGTTTGAAGCAAGCTATTTGGCTTTTTATTAAGAAAGATAGCAAACTGCTTCTATGATTGAACATTACCTTGAATAGTCAATTCATGGTGCAAATCTCAAGGTTTAGGACAAAATCCTATTTTATGCAATTACTGTAGTCCCATTAATTTAATAGGACTAGTCATTAGAGTAGAGTGAAAATAGTGGAATTAATTACACAGTTTGAATTTTGTTGTGAGGGTTTTAACTAAACCACTTTAGCTCTGATGTTAGTGAACTGCTACTCCATAAAATTGTGCATAGCTTTCTTGACCTCAAGAAGCAAAACATCTTAGCAAAATTAGTAATATAGAAAGGATTTTGGAAGTACAGGCAGTCCCCGGGTTACGTACAAGATAGGGACTGTAGGTTTGTTCTTAAGTTGAATTTGTATGTAAGTCGGAACTGGTACATATTGTAGAGGAAACTCTAGCCAAACATTTCTCCAGAGCTCAGTTTTATTCTCCCACACCTCACTTCCCTCAGTCCTTTATTCTCAAGCTGAGGTGTCGGCTGAGAAAAGCC